GGGAGCGCCGCACTGTCGGAGGTCAGTGGTGAGGGAGCGCTGCACTGTCGGAGGGTCAGCGCCGAGGGAGCGCCGCGCTGTCGGAGGGTCAGCACTGAGGGTGCACAGCGCTGCATCATGTTGCTGACCTCTGTCCCTTGCAGGCCGCAGGCCCCCCAAGCTGCAGTTGGCCAGGCCCCAGAGCTGGACGAAGAGGAGGGGAACTCTCTGCTAGTGGAGCTGGAATCTAAGGCCGTTCGACAGGAACGCCAGGCTGACCTGTGGTTTGGGAAGGTAAGGGCGCTCTCCCTGCTCGATTACACAGGGAACTGAGTGGCGTTGGGTGGGCGGGAGCTGATGGATTGCAATGAGGCTGCCATGGGGGGGGAGTTTATGAAATGGGGGGAGGGCTGAGGGCTGAGGCGCTGGAGGATCTAATGCTGCTCGTATGGCTGTATGGGTATCAGGGCTGAAGTGGACCAACCAGCCCCTTGAGCCTGTTCCACTCCCCCTTCTCTCTCTCCCTGTCACTGGGTCTCGTTCTCTCGCGCTCTCTCTCTCTGCCGGTCTCCATTTCTCCCTCCCTGTCTCTGTGTCTCCCAACTGCCTCTCCTAGCCTTCCCCACCCACCCCCCCTACCCTTTCTGTGCATGTGTGCGTGCCTGTGCGCACGCCTTTTTGCGTGCGTGCGTGTGCGAGAGAGAGAGACAGTGTGTGCATCTCCGTGTTGGCCTTTGTCCTGTTGGATTCTGGATCGATGGTAAACTGCTGTTTCCTGTTGCAGGACATCTTTGCTGGTCTCGAAACAGACGCTGATGAGGCCATCGAGATTAAACAGACCAAGAAGCTATACATGGAGCAAGGCAGGGTCCTGGCCGGTAACCGTGGAGGCATGTGGGAGGGGAGGGGGCTACACGTCGGCTGCCTGACACCAGCTCGCGTCACCGTTTGCCTGTGGTGGGGTGGAGGATTTCCGAGATTCCAGGGGAGCTGGCGTACTACTCCCTCGGAGCAGAAAAGGATAAGAGGGAGATTGAATTGAGGCGTTTCCCCATTCAGCAATTGGGAGGAAGCATCTGTGGGGTCAGGAATGTCGAGAAAGTAGAGGGACACGGATTGAGGGGAACTGGGGAAAAAGGTTATCTAAGATTACAAAGAGATTTTGATCAATAGGGTCAATGGGCTGAGGAGTGGCAGATGGAGTTTAGGGCTAAAGGCGAGGTATTGCATTTTGGTGAAACTAATGAGGGCAGGACTTACACAATTAAAAGTAAGATAGTGTTGTAGAAAAGGGTCCTAGGGGTACAGGTACATAATTCTTTGGAAGTTTCCATCAGAGATAGACAGGGCGGTTAAGAAGGTGTTTAACACTTGCCTTCATCGCTCAGCCCTTTGAGTATAGGAGTTGGGGACGTCATGTTGAGGTTGTACAGGACGTTGGTGAGGCCTCTCCTGGAGCACTGTGTCCAGTTCTGGTCTCCCTGTTACAGGAAGGATATTATTAAACTGAAGAGGGTTCAGAAGAGATTTACCAGGATGTTGCCGGGAATGGAGGGTTTGCGTTGTAAGGAAAGGCTGGGACTTTTATCGCTGGAGTGTAGGAGATTGAGGGGTGACCTTTTAGACGTTTATAAAATCATGAGGGGCATGGATAAGGTGAATGGCAGGTGTCTTTTCCCTAGGGTGGGGGATTTCAAGACTGGGGGACATATTTTTCAGGTGAGAGGAGAAAGATTTGAAAAAGACATGAGAGGCAATTTTTTTTTTTTTTTCTCCACAGTGGCTTGTGTGTGGAATGAACTTCCAGAGGAAGTGGTGGATGTGGGTACAGTTAGAACGTTTAAAAGACATTTGGATAAGTACATGTAGGAAAGGTTTGGAGGGATATGAGCCAGAAGCAGGCAGGTGGGGAATAGTTTAGCTTGAGGATTATGCTGGGTTGGACCAAATGGTCTGTTTCGATGCTGTATGACTCTATGACTGCATAACCGGAGAGGGGAGGAGGGGAGGAGGAAGGGTGGGCGAAGATGGGGATAAATGTCATTTTTTTTCCTCTTGTCCTCCTAGGGGATGAGGCATTGCTGGCAGCGTCAGCATTTCTTGCCTGTCCTCAGTTGCCCCTCGAAGTGAGCAGCTGGCTGTGGGGCCTTTTCAGACGATGGCTAAGAGAGGGCCGCGTGGGGGTGGGGGTGGGGGGGGGGGTCTGGAGTCACGTGTAGGCCGAGCGAACAGGATGGGTTCTGGATGGAGGCTAGCGGTGACCCACTATCGCGGTATCGACTCCAGGTTTTAGGAATCAAAGTTAAATTCCACCAGATGCCCCCCCCCCTCAAAAGGGCATTAGCCGCGGGCTCTGGATTGCACCTTTGACCAGTCTCTCCCCTTCTCTTGTCCGGCTTCCTATCTGTAGACGAGGTGGGGAGAGAGGACGATCAACAGAACAAACCCCACACAGTGGCGGAGGGCGAACAACAGAAAACGGCCAAGGAAGGGCCAACTCAAGGAGAGAAGGAATCCGAGGAGGACAGTTCCAGTGACGAGAGGTATGCTTCGCGAAGGGAACAGGCCCTTCAGCCCGTCTGCCCTGTTTCTGCTTCACTCCCCCCATCATCTCCCTCCCGTTGACGTTTCCTTTTTCTTTAAATTGTTCGTCCATGGGACTGCCTGGACTTGCCCCTTCCCTAATTAACCCCTGGTGTAGGTGATGAGCCTGCTGCATCTGGTGTAGCGACAGTCACAATGCCCCCTTAGGGAGGGAATTCCAGGGATTCTGACCCAGCTACACTGAAGGAACGGCCGATCTATTTCCAAGTCGGGATGGGGAGTGGCTCGGAGGGGAACTTGCAGGGGGTGGGGGTCCCATGTATCTGCTGCCCCTTGTCCTTCTGGATGGAAGTGGTCGTGGATTTGGAAGGTGCTGCCTGAGGATCTTTGGTGAATCTCCGCTGGTACACACTGCTGCGACTGAGCATCCGTGGGGGAGGGAGTGGGATGTTTGTGGATGTGGTTCCAATCGAGTGGGGGCTGCTTTGTCCTGGATGGTGTCGAGCTTCTTGAGTGTTGTTGGGGCTGCCCCCATCCAGGGGCAAGTGGGGAGTATCCCATCACCCTCCTGCCTTGTGCCTTGTAGATGGTGGGACAGGCTTTGGGGAGAGACAGGACGGGATTTACTCACTGCAGGATTCCCAGCCTCTGACCTGCTCTTGTAGCCGCTGTGTTTATGTGGTGAATCCAGTTCAGTTTCTGGTCAGTGGTAACCCCCAGGATGTTGATAGTGGGGGGGGTTCAGTGATGGTAACACCATTGAATGTCAAGGGGCAGTAGTTAGATCGTCTCTTATTGGTGATGGGCACAGCCTGGCATTTGTGTGGCACAAATATTACTTGCCACTTGTCAGCCCAAGCCTGGATATTGTCCAGATCTTCTTGCATTTAGAAATCTGAGGAATTGCCAACAGCTCTGTGTTTGGTTCCCAGGTAGCTGAATAGCTTGTGAATATTTGAGACAAGCCATTGGATTTCTGCAAATTCAGGGGTTGCCTCAAATATTCAGCATGAAAAGTCACCTGAAAAACTCCAGCTTGTTCTTTCCCAGGTAGTTGCTATAAACTGTTGCTCTTAACCAGTAAACTGGAGACTTTATAAATGTGAACCAGCCACCCTGTACCTTCGGCAAGCAAGCAGAAGGATCTGGAGAAGGGGAATCATGAAGGGTTCTGAAGAAGGATGACCTGAAACGTTAACTTTGCTGTCTCTCCACGGATGCTGCCAGACCTGCTGAGATTTTCCAGCAATTTCTGTTTTTGTTTCCAGAAACAGCATTGTCCGATCAAGTCAAAAGGTTCATCTCAACAAAGCCTGTGGAAAGGGACCATTTGAACTATTGTTCTGGTCTTTCCCTCCACCCATAACACCAGTGTTTTTATTTTTAGGATCTCTCTGTTTGTGTAATTGTTTACCTGTAGATAGTGCATATGTATTTGTAATCAATAGCAGTTAGAAACAGACAGGCCATTTGCTTGATCATCTCATTCAGCTATTCCCACTTTCTCCCCCCCAATTCCCTTCGATCCCTTTAGCCCCAAGATCTATATCGAACTCCTTCACGAAAACATTCAGTGTTTTGCCCTCAACCTCTTTCCGTGGCAGTGAATTCCCCGGCCCCCCTCACCCCCCCACTCTCTGGGTGGAGACATTACTCCCCCATCTCCGTCCCTACCCCGTCTCCTCAGACTGTGACCCCCTGGTTCCCTCCCCCGGGGTCATGGGGAACATCCTTCCTGTGTTTGCCCTGTCTAGTCCTGTTCGAGTTTTATAGGTTTCTATGAGATCCCCCTCATTCTCCTAAACCCCAGGGAATATAATCCTAACCGATCCGGTCTCTCCTCGTACGTGCGCCCTGCCATCCCAGGGATCAGTCTGGGAAACCCTTCGCTGCCCTCCCCTCCATCGCCAGGACCTCCTTCCTCAGATAAGGGACTGCACCAGTGTACCATTTACCTGCTGCACCTACAATGCATACTTTCAGCAACTGGTGTGCAAGGACACCCAGGTCTCATTATACCTCCCCCTTTTCACAATCTGTCACCATTCAGATAATAATCTGCTCTCCTATTTTTGTTACCAACCTCGCAGTTATCCACACTATTATACCACAGCCGGCCATGTTAAAGACAGGAAAATAATTCTTGACAAATGTAGAAACCTTGCCTGTGTTATCCTGAGTGTAAAACGCAGGTCAATTGAGAGATTTGCGGACGTTTGAAACTTTTTTAACTGCTGTGGATCTTTTGAACTGGAAGTGTGTCCTGGATTCGCAGTGCACACCCCTAGTGAGTGATAACGGAGCTGTACACGATACCTAACCTGTGATACCACCTTCTTCGCTCAGTGACATTCGGGCGATGAAACGGGTAGGAAGCGAAGGAAACAAGCAGACCCTGGATGAAACCGACACGTTTGAAGTGGTGGAGGTGGAGAAGTCAAGTGAGTCAGATTCATGTACCTGTGTGGTCCTGGAATACAAATCCCAGCCTGTGTATCTCACCCATTCAAGCCTATCGCTTAGATTCCAGTCTGTTACTCGCTCCCGAATACCTGTTATTCTATATATAAACCCACCCTGAGCCCCTCGATTAGATTCCAGTCTGTTATTCACTCCCGAATACCTGTTATTCTATATATAAACCCACCCTGAGCCCCTCGATTAGATTCCAGTCTGTTATTCACTCCCGAATACCTGTTATTCTATATATAAACGCACCCTGAACCCCTCGATTAGATTCCAGTCTGTAACTAACTGCTGGGGAACCTGTGTGTTGTAATGTGACTATCTCTGTTTCTCCCCCATTCAGTGAAGAGGGCTCAGGTGCTGGACCCTGAAGGACTTGCACTTGGAGCCTCCATTGCCACCTCAAAAAAAAGAACTCGTGATTTAATCGATGATTCATTTAATAGGTAAGGTCAAAGCTTTTCCTCAGTTTTCGTTTTGGTCAGCCTCATCCCCGCTGATGCCAATTAAATGCTCCCGTTAAATTATTCAAACCCTTGCCTCAATAACTTTGCGCCTCGCAGGTCACTGTCAGCCCCTACATCCCCTCCCTATCTCTGTAACCTCCTCCAGCCCCTACACCCCTCCCTATCTCTGTAACCCCCTACAGCCCCTCCCTATCTCTGTAATCCCCTCCAGCCCCTACATCCCCTCCCTATCTCTGTAACTCCCTCCTCCAGCCCCTACACCACCCCCTCTCTCTGTAACCCCCTTCTCCAGCCACTACACCACCTCCCTATCTCTCTAACCCCTCCAGCTCCTACATCCCCTCCCTATCTCTGTAACCCCCTCCAGCCCCTACACCCCTCCCTATCTCTCTAACCCCCTCCAGCTCCTACATTCCCTCCCTATCTCTGTAACCTACTCCAGCCCGCACTGTCGGAGGGTCAGCGCTGAGGGAGCGCCGCACTGTCGGAG